TTTGGTGGGAACTTTCTTTTGTTTTTAACCTCACAGGAAATGCTTCCAATATTTCATCATTAATATATTTGTTGCTGTTCTTTGATTTTACGACATTCATGTTTTCACCTATTTCCAATATTCTTTTAATTTATGAATGGTATTGAATTTGTACATGTATTGATTTGACTATCCCTTAATTGTTTAATTTGGTAAAATATGTTATTATATTGTCTAATTTAAAATTTTTTTTTTGCATTTCTGGATAAATTCAACTTGGGAGGGCAAGGTTCCCTCAGAGGCTTGATGGTAAAGTTACAGAAAGAACAAAGTTCCACAGAAGTGTTTAACAGAGGTGAAATAATATCATAGAATCAGCAGATGAACCATCTTTCTCCCCAGATATCATTTATAAAGAAACTGTGTATTAGTCTATCACACAGAAAAGGGAGCTCTTGAACTGAAATACCAGTATTGAATATAGTAATGAGTATGTCTCTTCAAATTCTCTCTACTTTTCTTATCCCCCAAACCCTTGGCTGCTTGCTTTACCTCAGGATTTTGCAGGGTTAATTAACTTCATACAGTACTGCTTCCTGAAATGGACTAGCTGTACCCAGAGTCTCCAGCTCCTCTCATTGGTTCTGGAAGATGTGCCACAACATAAGTCCTGGGATCTGGCTTCCTTAATAGTTGCTAAAAGGGATGACATGACTCTGAAGTGAGGGGAATGTGAACTTCCTGTGGAGAATCATTGACCGGTATTAGACAAGAGGCAAAAATAAATTCCTCCTCTTTTCCTCCCTTTCACTTGGCTATTCTGAATCATTTTTTTAAATATAAACTTTCAGAGACATCCTGTAAGTCCATACTGATGAAATACCTGCTAAGTGACTACCTCTATCTTTTCTGCTTCTTCTCATGAAATAGAGTGATAATGAGTTATCTTACTGTTGCTTCTTTGCTTTAGTTTGCTTTTCTTTTAATATTGCAATACTAGGACTGCGCTTTTCCATGAAATATTAACTCCTAAGTCTGTCTCAGGCTTTTTTCTATAGAACCATGGTTAAGATACTAATTACCATATGTCAGGGATTAGAAACTATAGTCCATGAGTCAAAAATCTTACCTGCTGTTTTTTTTGTTGTTGTTGTTGTTTCATTTGAACACAATTGTGTTCCTCCATTAATGTATTGTCTTTGCGGTTTTTCCATAAGAGAAAAGTTGAACATGTGTGACAGAGACTACATGGCTTGCAAGGCCAAAAATATTTACTATATGACTCTTGACATTAAAAGTTTATTGAGTCCTGTTCTAAATTGTAGACTCTCAGGATGTAATTTTGGAGTTGAATTGTATCCTTTCTAAAATAAAATAATCTGTTGATTGTGCCAAGCAGAGTGGTATTGGATCCTTCCACATAGTCACATCACAATTGTTTGAACCTTTTCTTATGATATTAGCTGTGATGAGAGGCTGCTCCAAAGATAAGATGATGGGAGATAAGCACTTGTGGCACTTAATTTATATGAGGGCAATGATAATTGTAATAATGATATAAAATAGCTTTCTGTGACGGTACTTGTATTAATTTTCTATTACTGATATAAACTATCAAAAATTTAGTAGTTTTTAAAACAACAAAATATATTATATTACAGTTCTCTGGGCCAGAAGTCTAACACAGAAGTCTTATTGAACTAAAATCAGGGTAATGGCAAGGTTGCA